TTATCCCCTGTTTCTAGTGTTGAATTAGTCGAATCTAGAAATAGCTGTTACTATCTGAAAGTCAAGATCTTTCTCCGATTAAAGCAAATAGCTTTATAGATAATGTTTTTGAATTGTTGTACGGATTTGTTTAGGTAGCGGATATGATAGTGAAAAACGGAAGAAGAGAAGCAGTGAAGGTTTTGGGAATCATATTGATGATTTTATCATTCAGAATTGGAACTTTGTTGCTTTGTGGCTCTCTCTGTCTTGACAAGAATTGGCCTTTTGTTCTTAAATTCTCTCAACTCTCATTGGACAAAAGAGAAGAGATCCTCGGGAAGTGGTCGAGACGGAGTGGATTCCTTCTTCCTTTTCGAATCACTTTCTTCCTTGCAAAATTCTACACTCTCTTCTACTTCTTCTCTCAGGTAAAACACACAAAAAACGAAAACTTTCACTCAGTTTTTCAAGTCTCTTAATTTGAGTATGATTATTTAGTTAAGTTTGTTTGTAGACGAATGAGAATCTGAAGAATCCTGCATTGGAAGCGATTGGATATCGCATAGACAAGACCGAGTCAAGCAAGAAGAGCAAAGATGATGAGAAACGACGACTTCTTGAGACAGGGATCATTGAGACGAAGCATGAGAATGACATTACTATCGCACAATCTCTAATCGAAAAAGGTGTTCATGTCGCTAGAGATGATGACAATGTGCACAGAATCAGATGCGATGCGGTTGTTGTAGGCTCTGGATGCGGAGGAGGTGTCGCAGCTGCAATCCTCGCTAAAGCCGGATTGAAAGTCTTGGTGTTAGAGAAAGGAAACTACTTTGCACCTCAGGATTATTCGGGTTTAGAAGGCCCGTCTATGCGCGAGCTATACGAGAAACGCGGGCTTCTGACGACGATTGACGGGAAATTCATGATCTTGGCTGGTTCAACCGTTGGAGGAGGTTCAGCAATTAACTGGTCAGCATCAATAAGAACACAAGATCATGTTTTGCAAGAATGGTCGGAAGAGAGTAAGCTAAAGTTATTCGGTAGCCAAGAATACCAGTCTGCAATGGATGAAGTTACCAGAAGGATCGGTGTCACTCAAGGATGCGTCAAAGATGGTTTTCAGAACCAGATTTTGCGGAAAGGGTGCGAGAGACTCGGGTTGAAAGTAGATTCAGTTCCGAGGAACACACCAGAGGATCATTACTGCGGTTCTTGCGGGTACGGATGTAGTACAGGAGAGAAGAACGGGACAGACCGAACCTGGCTGGTTGATGCCGTAGAGAATGGCGCAGTGATCTTGACAGGTATCAAAGCTGAGAGATTCATATTAGTAGACAATACTAGCAGTAGCAACGAGAGAAAGAAACGATGTGTGGGAGTGATAGCGAGCTCTATTGGAGGAAAGATTGAGAAGAAGTTCATGATCGAAGCTCGAGTGACGGTTTCATCGGCTGGATCGCTGTTGACACCGCCTCTGATGCTTTCGAGTGGGCTAGAGAACCGGAACATCGGGAGGAACCTAATGCTGCACCCAGTTCTAATGACATGGGGATACTTCCCAGAGAAAGGTTCTGAATTCTCGGGTAAAATGTACGAGGGAGGGATCATCACATCGGTCCATCATATGAATGATGCTGAATCAGGGTGCAGAGCAATACTGGAGAATCCACTAATGGGACCAGCTACGTATGCAGGGTTGAGCCCTTGGGTTTCAGGAGCTGACCTTAAGGAACGGATGATGAAATACGGAAGAACAGCTCATCTGTTTGCTCTGGTTCGGGACAGCGGCTCGGGCGAGGTTATGAAAGAAAACGAAGTTACATACAGGACGAGCAAGAAAGATAGAGAGAATCTGCGGGTAGGTCTTAGACAGGCTTTGAGGGTTTTGGTTGCGGCAGGTGCAGTCGAAGTCGGAACATATAGGTACACTACTGAACCTGCTAACATTCAAATGCCTTGGCAGATTGTTTTTTTCTGTTGTCATAAAACTCATTAAATGAAGTGAAAACGGTATGGTGATTGCCTCATGGAGCAAACCATACTGATTATGTCTGACTTACGTCGAAGAATGTTATAATAACTCTTTTAAGTAATGTCACTCGATTCTACAGGAGCGATGGACAGAGGATAAAGTGTGAGGGGATAACCAAAGAAGCTATGGAAGAGTTTCTAGACGGAGTTGATGCGGGTGGTGGGGTAAGCACAAATGGTGAGTATTGGACGACCTACTTCTCGGCCCACCAGATGGGTAGTTGCAAGATGGGAGTGACCGCGGAGGAAGGTGCGTTGGACGAGGACGGTGAGAGCTGGGAAGCTGAAGGACTGTTTGTTTGTGATGGAAGTGTGTTGCCTTCAGCTGTTGGGGTAAACCCAATGATCACCATTCAGGCTACTGCTTACTGCCTCTCCACAAGGATTGTTCACTCGTTGCAAAACAAAGGAAAAATATAGAGAAAGAACCGGAAACCATGACAGTTCCGGAAAGATTTTCAGGTTCTGATTCGTTTTCGTGTTGAATAAATAAGTCTTCTTATTAAAAGTCACATAATAACTTGTTATTGAATATGTGATTGTAATGGAATATATTAATTTCCATGATGCATTTGAATTCTAGTTTTAATTAACCACATCGTTATAATATCTCCAACATAAACATCATTAGAAATTTATACAGTTCTTGATTTGAATAAAGATTTTTCGAATTCTTATGAAAATATTGAATTTCTAACCAATTTTAAATATGAAAACTAATGAAAATTCCAATCATATTTTTTAGAATAATAATGGCGGCAATGCATCAACATTAAGCTGTTCCCTTAATTGATGATTATTATATCAATATCTTCTAGGTCACACTTTAGAGCCAAATTTTGAAAATTCTATGATTCTCTCATTGAGCTGTTCTCTTTTATTTCCTTAGTGACAAAAAGAATATTGAACGTTGGTCGTCAAATGTAAAGTTACCTTCACAGAGAAGAAAATCTGACTAGAGTTTACTTTTATGGAAACTGTAAAATATATAGTTCCTTAATTACTAGTATTATAAATTTATAACATACAAACTGGTGCATATATAAACTACATGATTGTCTATACCTCGACG